CTCTCCCCCGTGGCACCCTCCTCCCATCCTCCTCTCCCCTGTGGCACTCTCCTCCCATCCTCACCACAGGGGAAGCAGGAGAGGACCATCTGCAGAGGATGAAAGCTCTGCCGATCATGCGGCAACAGCATTGCCGAAGATGAGAGCCAGGGTCTGGGCCTCCCAACATGCATCTCCGGAGGTGGCACTCTCCCCTGAATGGACTGACATGGTCCCAGACTGTAGAGTTCTTTGGGTTTGGCCTCAGTTCTGGTCCTTGCCTCAGGTCCAAGGAGGGCATGTGAAGCCCAGGCTGCTGCCAGCCCCACCCTCTCCAGAAGCCATCCAAAGGCAAATAACGTTAGTTATTTGGTGGGAGGCCTGGTGAAGGGGCGTGAGAACTGCTGAAGCAGAGGATCAAGCAGAGGCTGGTGGATGGGGGTGAACTGCCCCCAACCCAGCCATAGACCCTGGGACAGAACCACACATCAAAGCGACAAGCACCCAAAAGAAGAATCTGGGGGGACCCTCTTATATCCAGGGGGCCTCCTGCCTTCCCACCACAAAAAGAAAAAGTCCTTCAGACATCGGAACTGCTCCTGCGGCTGAGGGCCGTCATCTTTGGCTCTTTCCCTCTGACCTCTGCCACTTGCTCCCAAAGCCTGACTCTCCCCTTGTGGGAGCGAGGGCTGGAGACGAAAGAACAGGGAGGTCCTGCGGTGTAGACCGTTTCTCACTCTGCGAGCACCCATCCTTCCTGGCCCAGGCCTGCTTCTCCCATCACGGCCCCCTGGGCTGTCCAGACGGGAGGCCCTGGGATCAGGAGCAAGGGACCAGCCTCGGAGGCTGCCTGCAGGCCTCCCTCTCCGGGTCTCACAGCGGGGTGTGTGCACCTTTTCTGACGGCTCCTGGCGAGGCCGGCTCTGGGTGAAGCCCAGTCCTGGTGGGAGAGGTTCCTTTCTCTGCACGGATGCCCTCGGCTGCCTGGCTTGACCTCCTGCGCGATGAGCCAGGGACCCGAGCGCGCAGCCTGGCCTCCTCGCCTCGCGCGCTGTGTCTTTGGAAGCTCCGGGCAGGCTCTTCTCCTCACGGTCACACTGCTCTCTGGACCCCAAGACTGTCCTCTGGCCTTTCTCGGGTTGGCAGGTGGCCTGAGAAACCGAGTTACCATTCAAGCTCTGCAAACTGATGGAGATGCAGACGGCCCCCACCTGTGGCCGCTGGCGGAGCCGAGGCAAGAGCGGTGCAGTCCGCCCAGCACTGCCGGAGGACACACCCGGCCTCGTGCGAAGAAAGGATGCTCAGGGCACCTGGGTGCTCACCAAGCAGGAGCGCAGCACGACCATCCAGGCACTGGCTCTCCTGAATGTCCACGAGTCAACCTTCCGCCCCCGCGCACCTGGCACCGCCCACGGGTCTCAGGTCCTCCACGCGTTCCGTCGTCCCCACGGCATCTCACCCATGGCAGCTGGGTGGTGGCACCTTTCAGAAGACGGGAAGGCAGGTGGGAGGGGGTGGTGCCTGTGATGACGGTGGCCTCTGCTCTGGGAAGGCGCCTCTGGCCTGCATGTCCGAGCTTGATGCCACCAGGATCTCTGAGCCCAGGGGTAGTGGCTTGGGTCAGGACCCGCGGGCGCCAGGCTGCCATTGGCTACAACCACCGCTTTGGGTAAAGGTCTGTGTTTCATCAGTGCCTGTTGGGATTGAGGGCAGAACGCCTGGGCCTGATTTTTCTCGGCCATCTCTGCTGAGTTCCTGGTTGACCCTCGCCCCTCACCCTGATGGTCGGAGGTCTGATGGGACAGGAGGCGGATGCTGGGCTCATCCTCTGAGCTGCCACCACACGATACTCTTGAGAAGATAAAGCGCCAACCACCCTAGGACCTCAAGTCTGGGTGTAGGGTCACTTGATGTGTCTGCAACAGCACCTCCCACCATGCAGTCTGAGAACCTGAGAACAACCATCCATCCTCACATTCTACCACCGGCAGCGATCCCTGCCTTCAACCTTTTGTTGCAGTGGGGCCAGTTCTTCACTTCCCGTTTTACTACATTTCTCCTGGCTCTCTCTGCCTGACAGCCGTGGCAACTTCCAGAACGGACTGGTCCTCCTGAGGGGTAAGAACCCAGCTGGCACCTGATGGAGGGGTTCCAGGCAAGTGTACCCACAGGCAGCCTGCATATCTGATGAGAGATGGGCATTGGACCTGGAGCAGGTCCATGACTGAGCTCTCCAGTGAGGTGACAAGGGCCCAGGCGGAGTGGCTGGGGGCTTGGTTGAATGAGTGGGGGAGGGGTGGGGGGTTGAAGCCTAGGGGAGGAGGGGCTCCTTCTTCCAGGAGTGGCACAAGTGGGGAAGGTGGGAGGTGGTGAGGTTGGCAGAAAGAAAAAGGAGGGGACTCAGTAGGAAATTAGGTGGCGCGGCGGAGACAATCATAGGTCTGTGAGATTCACCATGAGCATCAACACTCGTGTTGCTGTGTAATATCCCTTGTGTGGATAGTCTGGCATGCGTTTGTCTTTTCTGCTGTCAGTGGCCACTTGGTTGCTTCCAGTTGGTACCACATGCAGAGACTTGCCAGGAACACTCTCTTACACATGTGGGTGCACAGAGATGTGCTTTCAACGTGGTTTGTACATATTCTGTCGTACTGTTTTCTCAGGAGAGGTCGTACCTGTTTACACTCTTACTTGCAGTGGTCTTGAGCTCCCTTTTCTCCATGTCCGCCCCAACCACTGGGGTAGTCAGTCTCTTCCAGGTCAGTCATTCCTCTGGATGTATGGTTCTATCTCACAGTGATTTAAATTTGCCTTTCCCTGGTGACTGATAAAGCTGAGTCCTCTTTGCTAGACCTCTCACCGTTTAATGTAAGGTTCTCACTCAAGTCTTTTATTTTTTCAGTTGGTTGTCTGTCTTTTTCTTAAAAAACAAGACAAAAGCCATTCATATGAAAACTTGTAACTGCGTATCTTAAGGAGAACCTCATCTATTCTAGAACTTTCCCATCCAATAATACAGTGGCCAGTAATCGCATGTGGCTTTTGAAATGACACTAGTCCATATTGGGGTGTGCCGTGAGTGTAAATAGACACTGGAGTTCAGACTTAGTAGGAAAAAAATAATATGCTTTTAGTATATTGGGTTAAATAAAATCTGTTATTAAAATTAACTTCAACTGTTCCTTTTATTAATGTGCCTGCTAGAAATTTAAATATACATATATGGCTTGTGTTTCTATTAGAACGTACTGTTTGACAAAGTTAGGAAGGGCTTCTCTGAGGAACTGACCTGCCCAGATTTATTCTGACTCTTGGGTGTTGTGGTTGCTAGCAGATTACTTCCTGATTGAAGAGGATTGGCAAAAAATACCCTAAAATGTTAAGTAATAAAAATAAGTACTGGGTACAGTGTCTGCAAACACTTTGAATTTAAAAACCTATTGTCACTTCATCACAAATTGTATGGTTTTAAATATATTTTTCAGTGTTCAGCTTGATATTTTCTCATTTCAGAGAAACCCTGTGGTCTTCCAAGTGTGGAAAATGGAAGGATTGCCCAATATTACTATACTTTTGAAAGTTATTACTTTCCAATGAGCATAAACCAAAATCTGTCATTTTCCTGCTTGGCTGGTTATACAACTGAAACTGGGAAACAAGAGACCCAGACCACGTGTACGGCAGCAGGATGGTCCCCAGAACCACGGTGCTTCAGTAAGTCAGTGGCGGGGTCAACATCACGTGATAACACGGAAATAAATGAGCTTGTAAAACTAGCATCCCCTAAAATATGGCAGGTGTCTAAACCTTTTGGTAGATAAGAACAAAATTGCTGGCCAACTGTCTTTTTTACAAAATGAAAGCATATACTGTAATTCTGTAAATCACGTCTTTCATTAAAATGTTATCTTCTTTATCTGTTTGTAATATTACCCTGTGAAGAGAATACTGATAGTTATTGAAATTGTTATTATCACATTGCAAGGAAGAGAGGCATCACTGCGTGAACACAACCTGAAGGGGCTAGTGCGCCACAGCTGGCTGGGAGGGATTCTGGGAAAAGGTCTGGAGCTGCCGAAGAGGCAAGAGACCTCCAAGAAGCCTGTGTGTGAGCACAGGTCATAATCCACACCTCCTCTCCTGGGAGCCTGTGCAGCCCGCCACCGCCGGGTCCCAGGATCCAGGGACAACTTCCCCGGGAGAACGCACGGCACGCCTCAGGCTGCTGCAACGTCACGCTGGCCTCTGCCACCGCAGGCTCGCCCCACACTCCGTGCCCCTCCCACCCCCCGGCCTGAGTGAGCCAGAGCCCCCGAATCAGTGGCTTCTTTAACGCCATCCTGTCTGAGTGAACAAAAGATGCCCTCAGGCGACCTACATGCAGAGGCGGGGCCAAATCCAAAGCTGAACCCCAGGAGCTGTGTGAACAAATAAGAGAAAGGGAAATCTCTCCTAGCAGCCTCAGGAGCAGTGGATTAAATCTCCACAATCAACTTGATGTACTCTGCATCTGTGGAATACCTGAATATACAACGAATCATCCCAAATTGAGGAGGTGGACTTTGGGAGCAATGATATGTATATATATTTTTTCCCTTTTTTCTCTTTTTCTGACTGGGTATGTTATGCTTCTGTGTGAGATGTTCTCTGTATAGTTTTGCTTTTACCATTTGTCCTAGGGTTCTGTCTGTCCTTTTTTTGTTTGTTTGTTTGTTTTTTAGTATAGTTTTTAGCGCTTGTTACCAATGGTGGATTTGTTTTTTGCATTGGTTGCTCTCTTCTTTCTTTTCTTTATTACTTTTAAGTAACTTTTTTAAATAATTATTTTTTATTTTAATAACTATTTATTTTATTTTATCTTTTCTCTCTCTCTCTCTTTCTTTCTTTCTTTTCTCCCTTTTATTCTGAGCTGTGTGGATGACAGGCTCTTGGTGCTCCAGCCAGGCATCAGGGCTGTGCCTCTGAGGTGGGAGAGCCAAGTTATGGACATTGGACCACCAGAGACCTCCTGGCCTCACATAATATCAATCGGTGAGAGCTCTCCCAGAGATCTCCATCTCAATGCTAAGACCCAGCTCCACTCAACGACCAGCAACCTACAGTGCGGGATACCCTATGCCAAACAGCTAGCAAGACAGGAACAGAACCCCACCCATTAGGAGAGAGGCTGCCTAAAAGCATAATAAGATCACAGACACCCCAAACCACACCACCAGACGTGGACCTGCCCACCAGAAAGACAAGATCAAGCCTCACCCACTAGTACACAGGCACTAGTCCCCTCCACCAGGAAGGCTACACAACGCACTGAACCAACCTTACCCACTGGGGACAGACACGAAAAACAACAGGAACTATGAACCAGCAGCCTGCAAAAAGGAGACCCTTTCTCTGAGAGGACAGAGAAACACACAGCAGATGAAGGAGCAAGGTAAAAACCCAGCAGACCTAAAAAATTAAGAGGAAATAGGCTGTCTACCTGAAAGAGAATTCAGAATAATGATAGTAAAGATGAACAAAAATCTGGGAAATAGAATGGAGAAAATACAAGAAACGTTTAACAAGGACATAGAAGAACTAAAGAGCAAACAAACAATGAGGAATAACACAGTAAATGAAATTAAAAATTCTCTAGAAGGAATCAATAGCAGAATAACTGAGGCAGAGGAACGGATAAGTGACCTGGAAGATAAAATAGCGGAACTAACTACTGCAGGGCAGAATAAAGAAAAAAGAATAAAAAGAACTGAGGACAGTCTCAGACACCTCTGGGACAACATTAAAGGCACCAACATTCTAATTATAGGGATCCCAAAAGAAGAAGAGAAAAGGAAAGGGACTGAGAAAATATTTGAAGAGGTTATAGTTGAAAACTTCCTTAATATGGGAAAGGAAATAGTTAATCAAATCCAGGAAGCACAGAGAGTCCCATACAGGATAAATCCAAGGAGAACCATGGCAAGACACATATTAATCAAACTGTCAAAAATTAAATACAAAGAAAAAATATTCAAAGCAGCAAGGGAAAAACAACAAATAACATAAAAGGGAATCCCCATAAGGTTAACAGCTGATCGTTCAGCAAAAACTCTGTAAGCCAGAAGGGAGTGGCAGGATATATTTAAAGCGATGAAAGGGAAAAACCTACAACCAAGATTACTCTACCCAGCAAGGTTCTCATTAGAATTGACGGATAAATTAAAACATTTACAGACAAGCAAAAGCTAAGAGAATTCAGCACGACCAAAACAGCTTTACAACAAATGCTAAAGGAACTTCTCTAGGCAGGAAACACAAGAGAAGGAAAAGACCTACAATAACAAACCCCAAACAGTTAAGAAAATGGTAGTAGGAATATACATATCGATAATTACCTTAAATGTAAATGGATTAAATGCTCCAAACAAAACATAGAGACTGGATGAATGGATACAAAAACAAGACCCATATATATGCTGTCTACAAGATGCCCACTTCTGACCTAGGGATACATACAGACTGAAAGTGAGGGGATGGAAGAAGATATTCCATGCAAATGGAAATCAAAAGAAAGCTGCAGTAGCAATTCTCATATCACAAAATATAGACTTTAAAACAAAGACTATTACAAGAGAAAAGGAAGGACACTACATAATGATCAAGGAATCAATCAAAGAAGAAGATATAACAATTGTAAATATTTACGCACCCAACATAGGAGCACCTCAATATATAAGGCAAATACTAACAGCCATAAAAAGGGAAATTGACAGTAACACAATCATAGTAGGGGACTTTAACACCCCACTTTCACCAATGGACAGGTCATCCAAAATTAAAATAAATAAGGAAACACAAGCTTTAAATGATACATTAAATAAGATGGACTTAATTGACATTTGTAGGACATTCCATCCAAAAACAACAGAATACACTTTCTTCTCAAGTGCTCATGGAACGTTCTCCAGGATAAATCTTATCTTGGGTCACAAATCAAGCCTTGGCAAATTTAAGAAAATTGAAGTCGTATCTTTTCCGACCACGGTGTTATGAGATTAGATATCAATTACAGGAAAAAATCTGTAAAAAATACAAACACATGGAGGCTAAACAATACACTATTTAATAACCAAGAGATCACTGAAAATATCAAAGAGGAAATCAAAAATACCTAGAAACAAATGACAATGAAAACACAACGGCCCAAAACCTGTGGGATGCAGCAAAAGCAGTTCTAAGAGGGAAGTTTATAGCAATACAATCCTGCCTTAAGAAACAAGAAACATCTGAAATGTAAAGCCTACCCTGACACCTAAAACAATTAGAGAAAGAAGAACAAAAAAAACCCAAAGTTAGCAGAAGGAAAGAAATCATAAAGATCAAATCAGAAATAAATGAAAAAGAAATGAAGGAAACAATAGCAAAGGTCAATAAATTTAAAAGCTGGTTCTTTAAGAAGATAAACGAAATTGATAAACCATTAGGTAGACTCATCAAGAGAAAAAGGGAGAAGACTCAAATCAATAGAATTAGAAATGAAAAAGGAGAAGTAACAACTGACACTGCAGAAATACAAAGGATCTTGAGAGATTACTACAAGCAACTATATGCCAATAAAATGGACAACCTGGAATAAATAGACAAATTCTTAGAAATGCACAACCTTCCGAGACTGAACCAGGAAGAAATAGAAACTATAAACAGACCAATCACAAGGAAAGAATTTGAAACTATGATTAAAAATCTTCCAACAAACAAAAGCCCAGGACCAGATGGCTTCACAGGAGAATTCTATCAAACATTTAGAGAAGAGCTAATACCTACCCTTCTCAAACTCTTCCAAAATATAGCAGAGGGTGGAAAACTCCCAAGCTCATTCTACGAGGCCACCATCACCCTGATACCAAAACCAGACAAGGATGTCACAAAGAAAACTACAGGCCAGTATCACTGATGAACATAGATGCAAAAATCCTCAATAAAATACCAACAAACAGAATCCAGCAGCACATTAAAAGGGTCATACACCATGATCAAGGGGGGTTTATCCCAGGAATGCAAGGATTCTCCAATATACGCAAGTCAATCAACGTGATACACCATATTAACAAATTGAATGAGAAAAAACATATGATCATCTCCATAGACGCAGAGAAAGCTTTTGACAAAATTCAACACACATTTATGATAAAAACCCTGCAGAAAGTAGGAATAGAGGGAACTTACCTCAACATAATAAAGGCCATATATGACAAACCCACAGCCAACATCGTCCTTAATGGTGAAAAACTGAAGCCATTTCCACTAAGATCAGGAATAAGACAAGGTTGCCCACCCTCACCACTATTATTCAACATACTTTTGTAGGTTTTAGCCACAGCAATCAGAGAAGAAAAAGAAATAAACGGAATCCAAATCAGAAAAGAAGAAGTAAAGCTGTCACTGTTTGCAGATGACATGATAGTATACATAGAGAATCCTAAAGATGCTACCAGAAAACTACTAGAGCTAATCAATCAATTTGGTAAAGTAGCAGGATAGAAAATGAATGCACAGAACTCTCTTGCATTCCTATACACTAAAGATGAAAAACCTGAAAGTGAAATTAAGAAAACACTCCCATTACCACTGCAACAAAAAGAAAGAAATATCTAGGAATAAACCTACCTAAGGAGACAAAAGACCTGTATGCAGAAAATTATATGACACTGATGAAAGAAATTAATGATGATACAAATAGATGGAGAGATATACCATGTTCTTGGATTGGATGAATCAACATTGTGAAAATGACTATACTACTCAAAGCAATCTACAGATTCAGTGCAATCCCTATCAAACTACCACTGGCATTTTTCACAGAACTAGAATAAAATAATTCCACAATTTGTATGGAAACACAAAAGACCCTGAATAGCCAAAGCAGTCTTGAGAAAGAAAAACAGCTGGAGCAGTCAGGCTCCCTGACTTCAGACTATACTAGAAAACTACAGTAATCAAGACAGTATGGTACTGGCACAAAAACAGAAATATAGATCAATGGAACAGGATGGAAAGCCCAGAGATAAACCCACGCACATATGGTCACCTTATCTTTGATAAAGGAGGCAAGAATATACAGTGGAGAAAAGACAGCCTCTTCAGTAAGTGGTGCTGGGAAAACTGGACAGCTACATGTAAAAGAATGAAATTACTACAGTCCCTAACACCATACACAAAAATAAACTCAAAATGGATTAAAGACCTAAATGTAAGGCCAGACACTATTAAACTCTTAGAGGAAAATATAGGCAGGACACTCTATGACATAAATCACAGGAAGATTTTCCATTAATGACAATTAGTTAGAGGAAGATCCCTGGATATATTTTCTAACGTAGGTGAGGTAGGGGTGGGATGACTGTGAGAACAGAAGTTAGTACATCCAAGAATTTTATTGTCAAATTGAATCAACTTTTAAAGAAATTTGATGCAGAGCAAGCAGGATAGTTCCAAAATTAAATTAAATCAAGGAATTGTGGAGTGAACATTTTTCTTTCTCCTTAAAATTCCAAGAATAATATTAAACTTTTGCATTGTTAGTTTTACAGCTTAGTAAAGAACAAGCTTAATTTCATCAATTTAGAACAGAAATATTTTTTCCCCACAGAAAAATGCCCTAAGCCTGACCTGAGGAACGGTTACGTCTTTGACACAAAATTATTTTACAAAATTCAAGAGAACATGCGTTATCGTTGTGCATCAGGGTACAAAACCACAACAGGGCAGGATGAAGGAGTGGTTCAATGCCTCCCTGTTGGATGGTCTTCTCAGCCAACCTGTAGGAAGGAACATGGTATGTGTTTAAGAATTATCTCCTAAATCTGAAGGTAAGAGCTTGTGAGTTCAATGCTTTCTTATATGGGTAGGCATTCTTGTTTAAATATAATTGTTATTTTATTATGTCTCTCGATGCAGGAAGTTATTATATTGTTTCCCTCTAATGCTGGGTGTTTCCTTAATCCAAGGATTCCCAACCTCTACCACACACCTACTCCAGCAGTTCCTATTTTTTACTAGTAAACAAAGAATTGGAGTGGAATAAAAGGAAAGACCCTTAATGAAACTTTCTGTCACAACATACATAAATTAGTATTTCCTTCATTAGAGAAGAGTTTGAAATAATGCACATTATTTTATACCTCAAACCAATATCAGATAAACTTAAAAATAACCCAAACAGGGACTTCCCTGGTGGCGCAGTGGTTGCGAATCCACCTGCCAATGCAGGGGACATGGGTTCGAGCCCTGGTCCGGGAAGATTCCACATGCTGCGGAGCAACTAAGCCTGTGCGCCACAGCTACTGAGCCTGCGCTCTAGAGCCTGCAAGCCACAACTACTGAGCCCGCATGCCACAGCTACTGAAGCCCACGCTCCTAGAGCCTATGCTCTGCAGCAAGACAAGTCACCACAATGAGAAGCCTGTGCACAGCAATGAAGAGTAGCCCCAGCTCACCACAACTAGAGAAAGCCCACGTGCAGCAGCAAAGACCCAACGCAGCCAAAAATAAATAAATAATAAATTTATTTTAAAAATAACCCACTTATTTGTATATATATATATGTATATATATAGTTAGTGTGGTGTTATCTATTTAAATTATACAAATCCACAGATGGGACATCATCAAAAAATCGCTACTGCACAAGTTTTCTATTGAATTGTGACCTTTGGCCAACTACACTAGCGTAGAATTTTAAAGACTGAAGACAGGTAGAGTTAGGATTCAGGGTGCATGAAGAAAGGGAATCCAGAGACAAAGGCAAACTTTGATTATTTTTCAATTTTGCCAAGAGCTGATTCTGTCATATATTGTTAAAATTCATAGAAAATACTTTTTGAGATTTCCTTTTAATATTCTAGGTTTAGGGATGGAGTTCATAAAACAAATGACTTTAATTTCTTTTTTTTTTAGAGACATGTTTGGCCCCTGAATTACATCACGGAAATTATTCCACAACACAGAAGATGTTCAAAGTGAAGGACAAAATACGATATGAGTGTGCCTCTGGGTACCACACAGCTTCCGGGAAGAGGACAGAGGAGGTGGAGTGTCACCCGTACGGATGGGCCCTCACCCCACGATGTGCCAGTAGGTTCTCACTTTGAAGACGACTACTTTCACTTTGAAAACTCCCTCTCAGAAATGGGTACAAGTTGTTATGCGAATTATGTTCCTTTTTTCATATTTTTTTGCTTCTGGTTTTAATGATGTTGACAGTAGGCTTTCATCATTTCAAGCTCTCAAAGAGGGAAAAATCCTTTTAGCTCAGATACTTAAATTAAAATAAGTTTAATGATATTCAATAAATATATAAATTGGCAAGCTTTTACTAGGAATAACAAAATTTGGCAAAGTTGCTGATTTCTAATTCAGATATGGCAGGTAAGTAGTGGGTGAATTTTGTTCTAGCAGGAAAAATAACACTTCTTTGTTTTTTATTTGTTCTTTCATTTTTAGAATTAATATGTTCTTCTTTAAGATCAATAGAAAATGGTTATTTTCATCCTGTGAAGCAAACCTATGAAGAAGGAGACGTAGTTCAGTTTTTCTGTCATAAAAATTATTATCTAAGTGGATCTGATTTAATTCAGTGCTATAACTTTGGTTGGTACCCAGAATCTCCTGTCTGTGAAGGTAATTTTTAAAATTTCATACTCACACAAATAAAATATCATGTCTGAATCAGCTTTAATTTCTTTAATTTCTATGGAAAAATGTCTCTGATGATATCTAATTCTTCTCCAGAGTGCTATTTTTTAAAATAAATATTGTCTTTTAAATCAGTGCTATTTTCAACAGTCTTTAATACATTTAATCTGAAGAAATCTTAATTTTTACATTAGTTTGTAGAGTGGATATATCTTTTAAATATATTTTTAAAAATCTATTATAAATTGTAAATCTCTCATTATAATGAATAATTGTTGTTGTTGGGAATTAACTAGATCCAGTTGTCCCAAGTTGGCAGCTTTGTGGAGGTACTTTCTTATTACTTAGCCACATATTCCCTGATGTGAAAATACAGTCTTCAGAACAGTGGGGTAAAGAGCAGGAAAAGCAGCAGAATGTTACCCAGATTGAAAATGAAAACTGAGGTCATCCAGTAAGAGCCACTGTCAAATGGGACGTCTGTGGTTCCATTTATATCACTGGCTGTGTTCAAGCAGGTGGTATGATTATCTGTTAAGAGACATCAATTCAATAGTCTTATAATCACACCTGCAGTGTTATATGAAGGAGGTCCTGGTCTAGCAGAGGAAACAGATACAAATCATTGGTACAATGTGACAACTGGTGTAATAAAGTCAGGTATAAGGTGTTTGAACAAACACTGAAGGTTCTGATTGATATGGTGTGGGACAGTGTTTACAGAGGTGATGGATAATGTCTGAACTGGGCCTTAAAAGATAAATAGGACTTGGAGGATTGGGAAGGATGGGGAGAGGTAAAGGGCTTGATAGCCTCTATTGTCTCTGTAATGTAGGAAATAGTGTCATTATTAACAGGCAGGAGAAAGACAGGAAAGGAAAACTTGGAAGAGAGTAGTGAAGATTTGAAACAGTTGCTGGGAGGAACGAAAGAGGGGTCACCAGGGTTATGCAGTGGGGTTTCCCAGAACTGCCATCATTCTCTAAATGCTGCCATCATTCTCTAAATGCTCATCCTCTAAATTCTCTAAACAATGACTTTAATTTTTTTTGTTAGAAATATTCTTTTTAAAACTTTCCAGTGGTGCCCAACAGCCTTGCTCTAACAGCAGAGAGGAAGATTGTTAGCAAATTACCTGTAGCATATTATTTCAAAATGAAATGGCAGATCCCTACCTACTTATCACCTGTTCGCCCCACTCCCACCAAATTAAGTCTTGTGCCAACATTCCTGCTATCGTTTTCTAGCAAACAGTCCTTAGATGTAGGATGGGCAGTGTAGTCGTCTGAGTAATGCCTCCCTCCCTCCCAAAAGAAAATATTCATATTCAAGTCCCTGGAACCAGTGAATGTTACCCTATAGGGCAAAAGGGACTTTGCAGATGTGATGAAATTAAGGATCTGGAGAGAGGAATAATATCTGGGATTATCCATGTGGGCCCCAAATGTAATCATAAGCATCATAATTATATAAGAGGGAGGCAGAGGGAGATTTGACTACAGAAGATCAAGTATGAGATGTGACGATGGAAGCAAAGGTTGGAGTGAAAAAGGAAGGGGTCATAAGCCAAGGAGGGCACGCAGCCCCCAGAAGCTTGCAGAGGCAAAGAAGCTGCTTGTCTCCTAAAGGCTCCAGAAGGAACACAGCTCTCCTGATACCTTGATTTCAGCCCAGTGAAACTGATTCTGGACTTTGGCTTCCAGAAATGTAAGAGAATAAAGGTGTGCTATTTTTTAAGCCTCTCCATTGTGGTAATTGGTCACGGCAGCCATGGGAAATTAATATAGTCAGTATTTTAGAATAGTTAAGAGCAGGAGATTTTAATTCAGATAGACACGGGTTTAGGAACAGATCCACCACTTACTAATAATTTACTTACTTCATAAGTTTTAGTTTCTTTGTCTGTAATATGGGAGATGTAATAGTCCCCACTTAAAGTTATTTTAAGATTAAAGGAGATAATGAATGTAACGTGCTGGCTCTTTTAGTTTTCTATTGGCACGAACTTAACAGCTTGAAACCACACACCTGTGTCTCACAGTTTCTGTGGGTCAGGATTCTGGGTGGAGCTGACCTGGCTCTGTGTCTGTGTCTAACAAAGCTGCAGTCAAGGTGTCAGGTGGGACTGCGGTGTCATCTGGGGCTGGGCTCGGGAAGAACCTGCTTTCAAGTTCACTGTGGTTTGTGGCAGCATTTGGAGCTTGGCAGGCTGCGGAGCAGAGGGCTTCAGTCTCCTCCTGGATGCCCCTGCAGGCAGCCCTGTGCCCCCTGCCCTCTGACCCACCCCATTCGGAAGCTCGCGATGAAGCAGCTTGCTTCTTTTCCAGATCAGCTGCGAAAGAGCTCGGCAAGAACGGCCTTACCATACTGTGCTGCGAGAGTATGTGTGCATGGTCACACGCATCCATCCTTGTGGCTGTGTTTAAACAGGTCACATGCATCCCATCATCTTGGCTGTGTTCATTGCTTAGAAGCAAGTCCCAGTTCCTGTTCTTGGGGAGGGGCATGACTCAAGGAAGTCAGCCTCAGGATGTGGGGATCCAGGGGGTGGCCCCAGTCTGTCTGCCATACTTCTTAGGGTCCTTGGCACAATGAATGTGCTTATGAAATCTTAACTATTATTTTTTGGTAATTATATGACTAAATATACTGATGTTTCTCCATAAAAGGAAGAAGAAATCGATGTCCCCCTCCCCCTGTGCCTCTGACTTCCAGAATCCAAAGGTACTCAACCACTTATCGTCACGGAGAAACAGTGCGTATAGAGTGTGGACTTAACTTTGAGAGGCAGGGATCAGAAGAGATACGCTGTGAAAATGGAAAATGGACAGAACCTCCCAAATGCATTGGTTAGCAGCACCTCAAATGAGCTTTCCCTAAAATGAAACCTGCGTGCATGTGGAGCTAAATGGTCTCTTCTGTTTCAATTTTCCCTTTTCAGAAGAAAAGCAGAGGACGGGCTGTGAGGACCCGCCCTTGGTTGAGAATGCTGCAGCAAACCTATCCTCCAAGGTCTATTATAATGGGGATAAAGTGACATATGTGTGTGAAAGAGGGTATCACCTCCGGGGACCAGAAGAAATAACTTGTAAACGTGGAAAATGGACCCTTCCCCCTGAGTGTGTTGGTATGTGTGCTGCGTTTCACATCCAGAGCTAAGCCTAGTGTGTAACATTTTCCTTTGTTTAATTCACACACTTACAGCAACGGTCCATTGCTTAGAAGAGTTTGAAACACACAGAGAGAGCACTTACTCTGCTATTTTTCCTGAGCATATGGAGCTCTCTGTAGAATTTAACTGGATATAAAGAATTGGGAAACAAGTTTTTAACATCTTGATGATAGTACTTTTGCATCTGGCCATTCTGAGCCCTCCACCCTCTGAGCCATATACCTGCTCTTTCATCTCACTGAAGGGCACAACCAGGGTACCACTCCTTGGTGCTACCCATCCTGCCATCCTTCTCATTTCTTTTTTTTCTTTTTTTTTTTTTTTTGCGGTACGCGGGCCTCTCAGTGTTGTGGCCTCTCCCGTTGCGGAGCGCAGGCTCAGCGGCCATGGCTCACGGGCCCAGCCGCTCCGCGGCATGTGGGATCTTCCCGGACTGGGGCACGAACCCGCGTCCCCTGCATCGGCAGGGGGACTCTCAACCACTGCGCCACCAGGGAAGCCCTCTCCTCATTTCTTGATCAGGTCCTGGAGAGACCTCCACAGACATGTTTACCGAGGATATCTGTTGTGTAAGAGAAAAGCTATTAAAGATGCTAGAGAAATTAGCCGAGTAGGAGAAAGACGCTGAAGACAGAGAGAAAAATGGAAATTTTCATCCATGGGTTGATTGAGATCTGAGATGAAGAGAGATGAGAAGGAAAAAATAAAAATGGATGATAACAAAGGTCAGTTTTTAAATGGACCATAATCGTTAGGTTAAAGAACACTGTTTACCTTTCTGTACATTTTAAGAATATCTATAGCAAGAGTCCTTCAGAAGCAAGAAAAGTGAAAAATCCGCTGCGTACTTGTCCTTCAGCAAAACATTTGCTCTTTAGTTTGGCTTAGTAAATTTTAACAATACTTAGCTGAATAAAGTTTCTCTGATTCTGGTACACTGAGAGATCAATTGTCCTAAATTACATAGTGAAATATTAAAGTACTATTGTATGCGCAACTGTATTATATCATTATGTTGTTATGTTTGTATTAATTTAAAAATAACTTCTTTTCTTAGGAAATACTGAGAATTGTAATTCTCCACCTGATATAATAAATGGAGCTGTTATTGGTGGATTATTAGCAAGCTACCCAACAGGATCCTCAGTGGAATATAGATGCAATGAATATTACTTATTGAGAGGAGCAAAAATATCTCATTGTGAACAAGGAAAATGGTCATCCCCACCTGTTTGCTTAGGTAAGATAGAGAACACATTGAATTAAAAAAATTTTTCCCAGCCTTATTGAGATACAATTGACATATAACCTTGTGTATGTTTAAGGTGTATAATGTGATGGTTTGATACACAAATACATTGTGAAATTATTACCACAGTAAGGTTAGTTTATTTATCCTTCACCTCATGTAATTTTGGGGGTTGTTGTTATGATGAGAGCATTCAAGATCCACCTTAGCAACTTTTAAGTGCACAACATTGGGGTGGTTTTTTTTTAATTTTTTACTTTTATCTGATTTATTTTTTTATATATTGTTTTGTACATTAGGTCCCTGGAACTTATTCTGCTTATAGCAGGACACATTGAATTTGTTTTACCCTTATGTTTGTATTCTTATGTGATTTTCATATAATGTTTTATAGCATGGAAAAGAGAATTTTGTATATATCTTTCATTCTTCAAGGGTTTTACCTTATCGTTTCTGTCAGCAGAAAAACATCCCTAGTATCTTAGGGTTTAGGCTATACTCGTTCTTACCCCACTGCATTTTTTTTTTTAATGTGGTAACATAAGAACAACAAAACTTTACCATTTTAACCATGTTTAAGTGTCCACTTCAGTGGCATTAAACGTAATCACATTTGTGTGTCTGATTACATTTGTGTTGTCTTTCTCCTAACTGGAATTTCCCCTGGTTGTTTATATTCCTCGTTGTCTCTCTTATTGTCCTCAGAATGTCATTTGGACAGAAGAATAATCAATCCCAATTCTTTCCTTGGTAGAGCATGTCATTTATAGCTTTCTTTGCCACTGCTTCCTCACTTTTGTTTTATCTTGTTGAGCAGATAAAAACGTTTGTAGTTACTCTATATTTTGGATTAAGGCATGGATTAATTAATGTTAATGTCTTCAAGTAGAAAACTGAGGCAGCTATCTAAATAATTACCTAAATTGAAATTACTTTGGGAAAACAATATTCACCTCTCATTTCAAGCCTATAGATTTGCCTCATTTTTTAACTTTGCTAGTCAGAGTTACATTTAAAAGTAACGTACCTGGTCACTACAGTTGCAAAGAACTTCTTACATTGTGACTTCTACAAATAGAAAATTGCATGATAAACTCCCTATAAGTTAAAAAAGACGTTTAGTTAAAAATATTAGCTCTTTAAACTACAAAAGCAAATCATTGTTATCTACAAGAAAATTAATAAACATACAGAATAAACTAGAAGAAAACAGAAAATATCAGTAACCTTGCCGGAAACGTCAGTGACTTAGATAATGGTCTTTTACACCTTTTTCTACACCAGCTTCCAACATACATATTCACAAAACTGTATGATATCATGAAGAGGCTATGAATCTTGTTTCTTTCACTTAAACTATATTATGAACATGGTTTGATATATTTCTACATTATATTTTAATGGCTATACAGTTTTCCTTAATGCAGATATGCCATAATTTAATTATTTTTTGATGGACATTTAGTGTGTTTTCAACATTTTTATATTCCACACAGTACATCTTGTACTAAATATTTGTACATGTAAATAATCTTTATTTTTTAATAAAATAAAATTAATTCTATTTATTTCACATGTTTTGTTTTTGTTTTCAGATTATCTGAAGAGGAATTTCTGGATCAAAGAGATCTGGAATTTTAATTAAATTTCTGATAATTGCCAAACTGCCCTTCATAAAGTTTATTCTGATTTATGATCCTAGCATCAGTGAATTAATGAAGTAGTTTCTTAATCTTTGTGAACTTGAATATCTTAATCTTTACATATTGTTAATTAAGCAATTAAAATTACTTTAATTGGATTTATTTGGGTATTAAACAGTTGACATTTTTCAATTTTCTAATGGCCATAGGTGGTTTTTCAATGAACTGATTGTTCATAGTTTAGCGATTTTTCCATACCCATAAGAGCTTTATCTATATAAATTACATTATCCATTTGACAGTCATGTATATTGCAGCTATTTTTTGTTTTCCTCTTCCTTTTATTTATAGTGTTTTTAATATACATAAATTTAAGTTTTAAGTCAGCTCTTTCAGCATCTCCTTTGTGGTTTCTCTCCAAGTCATTCTTAGTTTGCTGTTCACATTCACATTCAGATATATCTTCACCTGTAGTTTTTCTATTGCTCTCATATTTTCATAAATGATTTTGATGTTAAGCTTTTGATGATGTGATTGATATTGCATTGAATGGAAGTACAGTCATCTCTGAGGATAGAGACTGGACCGAAATTGTAAAGGAAAAGCTAGTAATGGAACAATCCCATAGGGAACAATAAGGTTTAAGGAAACCTATCATTTTCTGTCTGGAGCAATTGCCTCATGACATTTAGGCTTGGTGCCCACAGCCTAAAGCAAATACTGAGTGAAGATCATTTATTGTCATCAGGGCAAGAGGAGAGAGCTTTGTGCATCTTACTTGTCCTGTGGGACTGAAAATACTCTCACTACGAATGGGAAAGATGGTGCTATAATTCCCATCTGTGAATTATTCCAGATGTTATGAACTTCTCAACCTCCCCCCTGCTGGTCTTCCCTGCCCTTATCCTACTTCAGCCAGTCTAGTCTCATTACTCCTCCCCAAGTAAGCCAGGTGTGCTCTCACCTCAAGGTAGTTCCCTGTGCCTGGAATGCCCTTCCCTCAAAAAATGACTTGGTTCAGGGGCTTCCCTGGTGGCGCAGTGGTTGAGAGTCCGCCTGCCGATGCAGGGGACATGGGTTCGTGCCCTGGCCCGGGAAGATCCCACATGCCGCGGAGCGGCTGGGCCCGTGAGCCATGACCGCTGAGCCTGCACGTCCGGAGCCTGTGCTCCGCAACGGGAGAGGCCACAACAATGAGAGGAAATGACTTGGTTCACTCCTTAGCCTTCTGCAAGTCTGTTCAAAGATTACTTATTTAAGCCTGTCCCAACCACCTTACCTAGAAGCACAGCCCCCCTTCCCCCACGCCTCCACTATTAATTTTCCTATCGCACTTATTATATGTAGTTTAAAGATGGCCCCAAATTATAAGATCCATATATTTATTACATTTATTGTTGATTGTGTGTGTGTGTCTCCCAGTTAGAAGGTAATCTCCATGAGGGCAGGGATCTTTGTTTTATTCACCGACGAATATCAAGTGGTAAGTGTCCCACAAATATTACACAGTTAATACATTTTCTATTTGAAGATTTTATTTTATAGGAAGGAAATCAGAATGAACCTAAGTGGTTGTTGCCTTAAACAATATTTTTAATGTTTCAAATTGAGTGGTTTTAATTTATGATATATTGAAGATAATACAAAATATATAAATTCATTTGACAACAATAAAGTGTATCCTTTATCATGTATATGTGTGAAGAGCTTTAATAATGATAAATGGTAAATATAAAATACTGCTTTTGATGCCTGTCATAATTTTTTTTGTAAAAATATATCACTTTCTTACTTGTGAGATGAGTAAAGAATTGAAAAGACCCTTTGTTTTACAGAGCCGTGTACAGTTAACATGGATGACATGAGCAGAAATAACCTAGAGATGAAATGGAATTATGAAGGAAAGATCCTACATGGAGATTTAATAGATTTTGTATGTAAACAGGGGTATGACTTGTCTCCATCAACTGCACCCTCTGAATTATCGGTGCAGTGCAACAGAGGTGAAGTGAAATATCCTTCATGTATTAGAAAAGGTAAAACAGTAGTGCTTCCTGACAATTTCTTGGGTGACCAGTATCACAGGTGATCAGTATGAGTTCAAAGGATAAGACCCTAAGCAATCCACCACCCTCATCATCTAATCTATAAAATTGGGAATGACCTGATCAATTTCCAATCAGCACATACCCTTAAATAGGATCTATGCTGACATCTTTTAATTCTGTAAGTCAGTTTTATAAAGAGAGAAATCATGAGATTTTGTACATATCACCAGACTTTCAGAGGATGGATCACCCTCTTGTGAGCAATCAACAACCCTGTAAAGCATTGCTCTCCTCAGGGTTTGCAGGGGAGCATTGTCTCAGAAGAGGGCTTAAGGTAGAGTGAGAGACTTTGTGTACTCCTTGGGCATGGGACTGTCACTTTTAATAAGGAAACAGGAAGAGAATGCATACAGAAAGCATGGCCTCAAGACGGATCTTATATGCTTTCACTTTTGGCAAACAGAAAGGGGAAAAGTAAAATCACAATAATTAATACTTTGCTAGTTTTAAATGTGTATTTAATATTATGATATTCTAATTGCAATCATAAATTTTATGTATGAAGTTATTGCAGAAATGCTTTTGATATTTAAAAATTACTTGAAAGATGTCTTAAAAATGCTTTTACATGAAATATATTGTTTTATTTCTGTAGAGATTATAAAAACACTGGCTGCCTATTGTAGCAATTCATTGCAGACTTTATTATTTTTGCAGAATCTAAAAGAACATGTGCATCTCCCCCATTTATTAAAAATGGAGTTATTAAGAGTTCAACAGTCAGGACCTATGAAAATGGTTCCTCAGTGGAATACAGATGTTTCGAGCACCATTTCCTACAAGGGTCTAAGGAGTCCTATTGTTTAGAGGGAGTGTGGACTACACCACCATTGTGTTTGGGTAAGTACTGCCACATATGTCTCTATTTATTAAAATAAAACCATATTTTTCACTTCCTCTTCTCTTCGCGTTGATATAGCACTAATATAAAATTTAAATTTTGCATTTTTGTTATTTTATTAGTGAGCTTGTTGAATTACTGGTTTCTACTCTTTCCTCTAGATCATAAATAACTAGAATCCAGCTCATTCTAACAAGTACTTTTTAAGTACAAACCATACATGAGGTACTGGGTTGGTAGGACCTATAGGATGGTTAAGCTGTGTGCTGTGGGTAACCAGTCTAACAGTGGTCATTCAGTGTTATTGGTGCTGTGCTAGAAAACACGAGGACAGCGGGAAACAGATATAGGAATGGTCCCCTCAATCTGAAAGATGATAATGCCTTGTTGATGAGGCATCCTAATAAAAGTAACACTATCTCCCAAAATTCTCAGGAGTCATAAAATAGCATATTTTTAAATAAAAAGAAAATATTTCTTTGTGTTTATATCTGACTTTCATTTATTTTCTTATCTTATTTCACTGTCTTGGACTTCAGTATAATGCTGAGTATAAGTGGTGGGTATCTGTGTTCTGATCTCATAACTAAATCTTTCAGTAATTCATCTTTAAATATGGTGTTACAAATACGTTAAAAAAATCAAAATAAAGATATAGAAACCACCTATTTCTATTTTGCTAAGAGTTTAAGAAAACCTTCAGTGAGTTTAATTTTAGCAATATCTGTTGAAACAATCATATGATTATTACATTTATTTTTTTTTCCCTGGAATTACATTGCTTCTTTTTTGAATGTTAAAGCAGGATTGTATTTCTGTAATAAATCCCACATAGTTGTGATGAATTATGCGTTTTATATATTGTTGAATTTTATTTGCTAATACTCTACGTAGGATTTTTGCAACTATTTTCTTGAGGGAGATTGGTTTGTTATTTTCCTTTTGGGTTTTGTATCAAGTTTCTGCTAACTTCATACAATGCGTTGGGAAGTATTCCCTTTTTATCAATTCTCTAGATTTTGTCTAAGACTGGTACTATTTCTTCTTTAATAATTGTAAGAAATCATCAGAGATGCCACCTGGGCCTTGAGGTTTTTTTTGAGGAAAGGTTTTAATGACAACTTCAATTTGTTTAATAGATATTAGGTTATTATTCTCTTCTCTCCGTTTCAGTAGGAAGTGGTTTGTAAGAATGTGTCCATTATATCTAAATTGTCAAGTTTGTTGACATAACGTTCATGACATCCTCTTAATGGTCTTTTTAATGCCTTTAGTGATGTGTCTTTTGTTATACTACTGTGAAGAAGTATGTCTTTCTGATATATCTTGCTGAGGGTCTGTAAATTTTATTGGTCCTTATAAGCAATCAGTATCTGCATTTTTTGATCCTTTCATCAAATGTTGCTATTTCATTAATTTATATTCTTGTCTTTATTATTTCCTCTCTTCTACTTTATTGGATTTATTTTATTATACTTTTCCTAGCTTGTTTAGATGTATACTTAGAGTACTAATTTTCATCCTTTATGTTTTTCCCTAAAAATGAATTTAAGGATATAAATTTCCCACTGAGCATAACTTCAGCTTCATCCCACACATTTTTATATTTTTGATTTTTACTATCATTCAGCTAAAACTTTATAATACCCATTTTGATATCTTCTATGCACTCTGAGTTATGTAGAAGTTTATTTTTTAAATTCTAAACATTGGAGGATTTTCTAATTTTCTTTTGGTTGTTGATTTCTAGTCTAAATCCATTGAGACATACTTTGAATTATATCTGTTCTTTGAAATTCACTGATACTTAGTCTATTACAAGCATATACTTGTTTCAGGTAAACCTTTTTACTGGAAATAAATTAATTTTGTCCTTGTTGGGTTCACTGTTGTTACATACATATCAATTGAATTGAATTTTGTTTCTCATGTTACTAAGTTCATTCTTATCTGTCCAGATTTATGTTTGTTTGTTTATTTTTCTACCAATTATCAAAAGAAGTGTGTTAAATTCTCTCACATGGTACATTTAAAAATATTTATCATTTTAGTTCTGTCAAATTTTGGTTATGTATTTTGATGCTATTTTATTAGGTGCACACAGATTGAAACATGTTGAATCTGTATAATTTGAGTCTTTCTTTACCTGTAGTAATGCTTTGTTTTTGTTTGGTTTTGCCGTAAAATCTACTTTAGCTGTACCAACTGGCGTTTGCCAAGTATTTACAAGGTGTACAATTTTTCATCCTTTAACTTTCAACTTTCTGGATTCTTACTTGTAATGTGTATGTCTTACAAGCAATATATAGTTAGTGTATGTAAAATTATACTTATTCAGTCTGACAATCATTTCCTTTACAATGGATTATTTAGTCCATTTACACATTAATGTGATTACTGATATGTTTGGGTTTATAGCTACTACCTTACTATACTAGATATATATCCTATCTGTTCTATGTTCTGTTTTCTCTCTCTTTTTTTTTTTATTGTTTTCTCATGGGCAAATCAAATTTTTTGTTATACCATTTTACTCTCTCATAGCTTGTGGATTATACGTTCCTCCAGACTTCCTTTAGCTGTTATCATAGAGATTTCATAATGTAAAATTGCCTTATTACAATTGAGTACAAATTCGTAGTTTTACCATTTCTCTAGGACACAGAACACTTTATTTACTTTTCCCACTTTTTGTATTATTATGTCATGCATTTTCATTGTACATATAGTTTAAGTCCCAAAGATATATTAATATTATGTTGTCCAACAATATTCTTTTAGATTTACCCATATATTTATCAGTAATTTGTTCCTCATCTTTTCTTTTTTTTTAATTTATTTTTTGATACAGCAGGTTCTTATTAGTCATCCATTTTATACACATTAGTGTATACGTGTCAATCCCAATCTCCCAATTCATCCCATCACTACCCCCCCCAACCGCTTTTCCCTCTTTGTGTCCATACGTTTGCTCTCTACATCTGTGTCTCAATTTCTGCCCTGCAAACTGGTTCATCTGTACCATTTTTCTAGGTTCCACATATAGGCATTAATATGCAGTATTTGTTTTTCTCTTTCTGACTTACTTCACTCAGTATGACAGTCTCTAGATTCATCCACGTCTCTACAAGTGACCAATTTTCCTTTTTATGGATGAGTAATATTCCATTGTATATATGTACCACATCTTCTTTACCCATTCGTCTGTCGATGGGCATTTAGGTTGCTTCCATGACCTTGCTATTGTAAATAGTGCTGCAATGAACATTGGGGGTGCATGTGTCTTTTTCAATTATGGTTTTCTCTAGGTATATGCCCAGGAGTGGGATTGCTGACTCATATTGTAATTCTACTTTTAGTTGTTTAAGGAACCTCCATATTATTCTCCATAGTGGCTGTATCAATTTACATTCCTACCAATGGTGCAAGAGTGTTCCCTTTTCTCCACACCCTCTCCAGCATTTGTTGTTTGTAGATTTTCTGATGATGCCCATTCTAAATGGTGTGAGGTGATACCTCATTGTAGTTTTGATTTGCATTTCTCTAATAATTAGTGATGTTGAGCAGCATTTTATGTGCTTCTCGGCCATCTGTATGTCCTCTTTGGAGAAATGTCTGTTTAGGTCTTCTGCCCATTTTTTGAATGGGTTGTTTTTTTTTTTAATATTGAGCTGCATACGCTGTTTATATATTTTGGAGATTAATCCTTTGTCTGTTGATTCGTTTGCAAATATTTTTTTCCCATTCTGAGGGTTGTATTTTCATCTTGTTTTTAGTTTCCTTTGCTTTGCAAAAGCTTTTAAATTTCATTAGGTGCCATTTGTTTATTTTTGTTTTTATTTCCATTACTCTAGGAGGTAGATCAAAAAAGATCTTGCTGTGATTTATGTCAAAGACTGTTCTTCCTATGTTTCCCTCTAAGAGTTTTATGGTGTCCGGTCTTACATTTAGGTGTCTAATCCATTTTGAGTTTATTTTTGTGTATGGTGTTAGGGAGTGTTCTAATTTCATTCTTTTACATGTAGTTGTCCAGTTTTCCCAGCACCACTTATTGAAGAGACTGTCTTTTCTACATTGTATATGCTTGCCTCCTTTCTCATAAATTAGTTGACCATAGGTACGTGGGTTCATCTCTGAACTTTCTATCCTGTTCCATTGATCTATATTTCTGTTTTTGTGCCAGTACCATATTGTCTTGATTACTGTAGCTTTGTAGTATAGTCTGAAGTCAGGGAGTCTGATTCCTCCAGCTCCATTTTTTCCCTCATGAGTGCTTTGGCTATTTGGGGTCTTTTGTGTCTCCATACAAATTTTAAGACTTTTTGTTCTAGTTCTGTAAAAAATGCCATTGGTAATTTGATAGAGATTACATTGAATCTGTAGATTGCTTTGGGTAGTATAGTCATTTTCACAATATTGATTCTTCCAATCCAAGAACATGGTATATCTCTTCATCTGTTGGTATCATCTTTAATTTATTTCAACAGTGTCTTATAGTTTTCTGCATACAGGTCTTTTGTCTCCCTAGGTAGGTTTATTCTTAGGTATTTTATTCTTTTTGTTGCAATGGTAAATGGGAGTGTTTCCTTAATTTCTCTTTCAGATTTTTCAGCATTAGTGTATAGGAATGCAAGATATTTCTGTTCACAAATTTTGTACCCTGCAACTTTATCAAATTCATTGATTAGCTCTAGTAGTTTTCTGGTGGCATCTTTAGGATTCTGTATGTATAGTATCATGTAATCTGCAAACAGTGACAGTTTTACTTCTTTTCCAATATGTATTCCTTTTTCTCATTTTCTTCTGTGATTGCCGTGGCTAGGACTTCCAAAACTATGTTGAATAATAGTGGCAAGAGTGGACATCCTTGTCTTGTTCCTGATCTTAGAGGAAATGCTTTCAGTTTTTCACCATTGAGAATGATGTTTGCTGTGGGTTTATCGTATATGGCCTTTATTATGTTGAGGTAGTTTCCCTCTATGCCCACTTTCTGGAGCGT